TTAGTTTAGTTACAACTTCAATACACTTAAAGAGTTAGATAACAGAACTTCACGCAGTTGTCATCACATCTAGGACCCGGGTTGACAAATAAAGCTAAACCATCTATACTACGTATTAGTTCGTGGTTAGACTTGGCCACTTCCTAGTGTGAAGGTATTGAGGAGTCAAGTTTTGGCACCATTGTCGAGGATGGCTTGGTTGTTGAATAAACATGATTTCTGTTACTTTAGCATTTACTTTCTGCTTTTTTTTTCTTTTACTTCTTCCCTCTTTTGCCTTCATGCGTTTGCCTGCAGCTAGTGTGCAGGTAGTGCATGACCCTTAACTAGTCGTGAGCATTACTGTCGTGGGGTTAGGAACTTGAACGAACTTGTCGTCGGTTTAAGTAAGCACTATGAGTGAGACTAGCTGCGAAGGAAGAGCCAGTTGACGACCGAATAAGCAGCGACTCCGAGCAGGTTGACGAAATGGGAGACGAACATAACAGGATGAACAACCTGAACCTGGGGCATAATCCACCTCTGAACCAGGGGCAGCCTCATCAGGGATGCCTCTCCAGATTCCTCCACTTAATCAGGCTCCGCCTAACAATGGCAACCCATATGCGGACGAGGCCAACCATCAGCTGCCTCCGCAGGAGCACACCATGGAGTACTTCTACACTCCGCGGCTCGCTGACATTCGCCCAGTCGTCCAGTATCTGCCCATACATGCTAACAACTTTGAGATCAAGCCATGCTGGATCCATTTGATTATGACCTCAATTCAGTTTCATGCGCTCAAGGATGAAGAGGGAGGGTGAACCTTTCATGGTTCTTGCAGCTGGCCTACAGTTTCAAGCTGAACGGTGTTCCAGACGATGCAACCCGAGTTCACCTTTTCCCTCACTCTCTGGTGGGGCACTCAAAGAGTTGGCTAGAAACTCAGCCGCCACTGCCCATCACTTCTTGGGATGATCTGGATAAAAAATTCGTGCACCTGTACTATCCAGCCTCGAAGATTTCTGAGATTCAGCAGGAGATCACCAATTTCCGCTAGGAAGATGATGAATCATTGTGAGATGCTTGGGAACAGTATTCTGGACTGTTTTGGTAGTGTCCCCACCACAGTTTCAGTGATGCATTCACCGTGGGGAACTTCTACATTTCTTTATCCTTAAAGAGTCAGCGGCTGATCGAGTCTTTGTGCCCGGGTAGAGATATTCTCACAAAAACTCAGCCATAGTTGAACCAGATGATCGATACTTTGGCCTTCGGGGTTATTCTTGGGACCAGACCACCAAAGGCAGGAGTTCGAGGGATAGAGGTGTGTATGTCGTGGAGGCTAGATTGGGCCGTTAACGAGAAGTGACAGAGCTGGTTCAGTCATTTAAGCAACCGAACAACCTCATACCTGGTGGAGGCATGTCAGCTCCTCTAATAGCCCGGTGTCAGTGGTGCGAAAGCTCCAACCATTTGTTGGAAGACTGTCAAGCCATGCAGGAATCCACCATCCCATAGGAGCAGTTGGACTTCATTACCAAAGCTCAGTGCCTCGACCCCTACATTGGTACTCATAACGAGGGGTGGCACCAGCACCCCAACTTCTTCTAGGGTAGCAGCAACACCAAACCACCTGGCTTCGTGACAATGACTGGTGGCTTTCCCTAAAGGCAGTAGTACCAGACCCGACTGGGTCAGTTCCCACAACAGCAGTCATTCTAGCCAGACAAGGGCAATCCTTTCAGCCGCAACAGTGGCAAATTCAGTAGCTGACAGCAGCCCCAGCGCAGGGTGACCAGATGTCCGAGATGCAAAATATGGTGACGACTTTCGTGAGTACCAGTACTCAGAAGTTCGCCAAGATGGACCAGTTCATGGATTTCTCCATAGGGAAATTCAATAAATTTGAGGCATGTCAGAGGAACTAGAATGCCATTATGTAGGATATGAACACCAAAATAGCGCATCTAGCAGATGCCCTTGCTTCCAGACCGGCTGGCACACTTTCTGGCCAAACCCTGCCAAACCCCAAGAATCATAAGGAGGGGTTGCACGCCATCATGTTGAGTAGTGGGACTATAAATGAAGATGTACCAGCAAGGAGTGCAAAGAAGGTGACGCCGGTCACCCCGGAGCCGGAAGAGGACTTGGTGATGGAAAAGGAGCCAGAGGTTGGAGCCTCAAAACCATAGCCAGTAGTGGCTGAATATAAGCCTAAGCTCCCTTTTCCCACCAGGCTGCACAAAGATCGACTAGAGGCAGAGTTAGGGAACTTCATGTCCATGCTTAGGAAGCCGAATGTTCAAGTGCCCTTCCTGGAGACATTATCTTATATGCCTAAGTATGTGAAGTTCCTGAAAGATCTCCTCTCTAAGAAGAAGAAGAAGTTGAGTGAGCTGTCCACTATGGAGCTCAGCGAGAAGTGCTCAACCATTTTGCGAACAAGCTTCCGTAGAAGCAGAGGTACCCAGGTAGTTTTAATATCCCATGCTCCATGGTAAGCTGCATGTAGAAAGGTCCTTGGTGGATCTAGGATCTAGTATCAATGTTATACTTATAAATTGTTCAAGAAACTAGGCCTAGGTGAACCAAGTGCAACTAGGATGAGCATCCAATTAGCCGACCGATCCATAGTTCTTCCTAGAGGCATAGTGAAGACCTCCTAATTAAGGTTGGCAGATTCTTTTATCCTGCGGATTTTGTTGTCTTAGACATCAATGATGATGTAGAAGTGCCTCTTATACTAGGTAGGCCTTTACTGACCATCGCCAAGGCTCTTATTGATGTACATAATGGGGCCCTAGTTTTAAGAGATGGCGAGGAGCAGATAACTTTTTCCATTGCTAATAACTTGACTGCTCTCTCGCCTGTGCATGCTTTATCTCACCAGGTGCACGATTTTATCGTGTATCTTTCTATGTCTTATGTTTTGCAGGGCTCCGCATCCATCCCTTCTCTGCCACTCCCAATCTCCCCGCTACCGAACAAAAAGCTGAAGGAGGAGTGGCGGCCAAAGCTGCACACATCCAAACTTGGCAAAAAGAAAGCCGTAGACCACTATGAGCTGGTCCCCGACTCTTGAGTCACGACCACCCTGTCCATCCGAGTATTCATTCGCGTGCATCCTGCTGGATGGCCAGGTCAAGTTGACTTGTGCTGGTGGCCACACCCACCATGTGCATGGCCACCATATGAAGTTGTACCTCAAGATCGATGTGGATCTTCTATTGGAGGCACCTGTTCTTACACCGCCCTGAGCATCCACCGTTGGCGTCCAACTAAAAAACGGCAAAGAAGCGCTTGTGGGGAGGCTACCCCACCTTAGTTTGCATTTCTATCCTTTGTCTATTTTGATTATTAGGTCTTTTGAGTCTTTGTGTCCATTTTGAGTCTTTTTGAGGTCGGCCCCGTGGTTTCGGGTGTCATATTTTTGCTTGTGGCTGAGTGGATTTTTGAGCTTGAGCCCGGATGTGTTGATTGCGTGGAAATGTGGTGTTTTGGGGCAGCAGAACAAGCTCAACAATGAAAATACGGCCAGGAACACGGTTGTGTTCCTGCCCGTCGAGATTACCTGGACAATATACGATAGGAGTGACCTGAAGACGCCAATAATGGGCTATAAGGAGATTTTCTCCTCCTAGGTCAAAAGCTCAATACATGAAAATGGAAATCCAACTCATGTCATTCATTAAAACATCCATCAATTAAGTAAAATCAACAATCAAACATGGAATTTGACACATACATCAACAACAAACCGAAACCTAGACCTAGGGTTCTTAAACCCAAGAGAATAGGGTGACTTTCTAGAGAGAAGAGAGATATTACAAATTGGAGCCCAATATCATCATCTTCTTCTAGGCGTGATCCTAGCAAAAAATGCGGGAGGATGTTGTCGTTTGGTCCGACATCACGGCTCGTGGTTGATTTTCATGGTCTGGCGACCGTGAAAACCTTGAGGTCCAGTGAGGTGTGCAAAATGTTATGTTTCTCGGCTAGCTTCACAGTCACGGGGCAATTGTCTCGGTCTTTGGATTTTTCTCCGCTTTTTGCCCTTTTTGACCTCCAATCATCCCAAAACTCGTCCTTGACCTTCCCACACATGCTAGGACCTTAAATATAACAAAAAATAGCACACCCTAGCGTAAAATAGGTTAAGAGACGATGATTTAATAAGTCAAACAAAGATAAAAATATGTGTAAATGAGCCCGAATCAATAACCTATTCATAAAAAAATGTACAAATCAATCTAAAAATAGAAAACAATTCTTAAATCTCTCCTCTTTAGGTCTGACCTCTCTCAAAATCAATGACTAAGGGCATAACACTTGCAGGTTAGCCTGCACATGTTCAACACCGTACCATTGTTGGACCACTCCACCACTAGGGTTGCAAGTGAGTCGAGTCGAGTCGTGGTTTGACATAGTCTGGACTCAACTCATTAATTAACGAGTCAAGCTCGAGCTCAACTTGTTTATTACAACATTGGCTTGTGTTCGACTCAAGTTTGGCTCATTAACGAACTCACTAGCTCACTCGAGTTTGGCTCATCAATTAGCTCGCGAGAACGGCGAGAGCTCGTGTATCATATAATTTTGTTATACATAATTTCTATTTTAAGTTGTAAATGAAACATATTTGATCATAAGCTCAAATTCTTTATCATCATATATTATGAGATATATAATCTAACAACCTATCAATTATCAATTATCAATAATCCAATTATAAACTATTAATCGATTCACTCAGAAGTTGATAGTTGAGGTATAGTTCGCTTGCCATATTATCGAACCAACTTATAGCTCAAAATGAACTAACTCACAAGTGGAATTCAACAACCACCGAGTTGAGCTGGCTCACTAACCTTACTCACTAACCTTAGAAGCCAAACAAGGCTTAGCTCAAATTCGTCTCGTTAGTAAACAAGCCGAGTGTCAAATGAGATTTTTCTCAAACCGAACACCACTCGTGAACAAGTTGGCTCATTTGCAACCCTATCCGCCAAATAGAATGTATCACGCAAGGCCAAGTGACGGATCTGACTCTTGACATATAATAATATTATTATTATTATCAAATCAAAATACGATTTAATCAAATCCAAAATTTAGGCTTCCATAGCTATCTCCAAGTGACAGATTACAAATTGCATTATCTACCTATAAGGTGCCCTTGGTTGGTTTTCCTCGTCAATGCCTCCGTGTGTATACGTGTGTTTTGGTACAAAGTTACCGTCTGTCAACCGACAATGGAACGAACTCTGTAATTGGGGACAACAATTATACTCCACTGACCAAATGCTTGCTCCTCAATCTTCCCTTCCCATCCCTTCCAGCTAGCCACTATTTACAGTTTCGATACAAACTGCACTAGTCCGCATTTCCAAAGAGTAGCCACAAGTCAAACCCTGTCTAGCTTAACCACCTTCGACCCACAAGTCTTCTTCCCACAGCTAGAAAAGAGCTTGGATTGGTTCTTCTCCACCCACTTCTACCTCAAGCCACTAACTGTATGAATATCGACTTACTGATACCTATTTTAACACATCAGTTGATTTGTGCAAAGAGGATTTCATTCCATGAGTCAGGAACCCCAGGCAGACACCAATGCAAGCAATCTTGCACACCGGGCGCCGCTGTTAGGCTGTATTTTGAGATATGACCCTCGTCCCTAAGCTGGGACAAAGATGTTATATCCAAAATCTTAACCCCTGTTCCCTGCACCGCACTCCTGGCACTGTAATCACTAGACTCCTCTTCCACTAGTTCCTTGCCTATAGACATGGGCGTCATGTTGTCACAACTCCCACCGGTGTTCCATTCCCCACCAAAGAAATGTCTGGGAGATAGGCTACGATAGAAAGCCTGTAACTGCGGATTCTTCGGCAGCTGGCTGTCCACCCAACTAACAATACTGTGAATTGTGAAATTCTTGGCATCCCCCATGGCTATCAGCCTCTTGTTGGTATTCTTGACGCCACCAACATACATGACCCACCGATTAGCATTCAGCTTCCCGCGGTTCCAGTGGTGCCCCGTGTTAAGAACCAGGACGTGAATTCTATGCAGATTTTCACGCAGGAAAGATGGCGGTCGATCGAGGTGCATGGCGTAGTATGTGTCTGGATCTTCAGTGTTGATAGGTTCCACATCACAGAGGCAAGAAGACCAGTAATAAAGGACAGTGGTGTTCGTGGTGGGGAACCTATAAGCCCACCCACTCGGACGGCCATTTTCAGGGGCGGTAAATCCATACTCATCTCCTACATCGAGGACATCGTTTCTTTCTAACCCTCCAGTGATCATACACATTAGAGACTGGAATTGCTGGCGTCCTAATGAATCTCCAACAAAAGCTAGGGTCTTTCCATGCATCCTGTTTCAGGGGCAAAAAGGGGGAAAAGAAGCAAAATACTTATGTATCTCGTATCAAATACCATGACAGCAAACACGCCTCATATCTTTCAGCACTAAATTCCTAGTCTGTTACTCAAGCAAGGGAAAAACGATTGGGGAAGAATAAAATGTCAGTAATTAGCAACACCACATCAGGGCCAGTGATTTTATCAGTAAAATTCCGCTAAAATTTCTTATTATTATCTGTTTAATAGAGTAAACTAACACAAGCAAATCATACCTTTTCAAGAACTCGTCACCTTTGAATCGCTTCATTTTACAATCTTTCGGTTCCCATCTGATCTTCTCATATGAAAAATCAGTCCGTTGCATCAACCGACAGGCCCACCCCGATGCAAGCCATTGCTTGCATTCAAATCCAGAATATAAAGGCAAGCTGTCATCTACCACCCACTTCCCTTTTGCATAATTACAAACTGCACAAGCCATAAATGCAAATTAGTATGTCCACACTTGTGTACAATAGCACACGCAACAAGACATCGAATTCGGATATTTGAATTTTAAAATGCAAGTATTTTGACAGCATGAGAGCTTGCTTTGCAACGATTGTATAAGATAATGGAGTCCACCAAAGAGCATGAATTTTGGGAAGTTTTGGCCTTTTGGGGGTTACCAAAGATTTCTAAATTACATGGAGGTCATGTACTCATGTATCAGCAAGAGTCCTGAAACATGAATGATTTTTCACACCTAACTAAAACAAGAAAAACAAAGCAGCACCAGAAACCATGCATTCTAAAATCATATATCAATACATGGTTGCCCATCGACCCCTAGATATTTGACACTCGGAATGAGCTGCAAAGCCAAATGGATATGCTCAGCAATCCATGTTACTCATGATGTGCCAAGTATTCAGCAACTATATGTTCATGGAAAACGGTCCAAATAAATTGCCAAATCCTTAACAAATGACACTGACGATGCAAATATGATCTCTTCAGCTTTTAAGTGGCTTCAAAAGCAAATAGATTTGCAGTACTTAAACATGTAATTTTTTTCTTCCTCTCCAGTTAAAATAATAGTCAACAATAACAATATTCCAAGTAAAGGGTAAACTAGAAAGAGATTCTCTCAAATTTGACTACAGTAAAGGAAGCGACAACTAATTTAAATCATGTGCAATTCAATGTACCTTGATTATCTCCTACTTTCTCTGTATTCTCGTCATCTTGTCCCCCCTCAGCGGCTTTGTTTGATGTAATATTCAAACTCCGTTGAACATTCTGATTAGGTTTTCCTTCTGCTTCTCTCAAACTTAGAGTTTTATCTGCAGTTTGATATTTGCCTACTTCTGTGAAGACTTTATCTTTCTCCTTCATATCAGTTAAGTTCAGTGATATCTCTGTCAGGGAAAAGAAACAAATTTCGTTGGTGGCACAGGTAGATAACAGAATAAAAGTCATCATTGCTGCAAATAGTAACAGGTGACCCATTGTTAGGTAGAGTAGACTGAACAAGAAACACAGATTTTTTATATTTGAAACTCATTGATTGCACAGCAAATTAAAAGAAGAATTATCAAACAGGATAATATCATGCCAACTGCTCTACTTGCAAGTATAAGCTCGGTGAGGGGCATAGGGGATACATGACACTCATTAAAAATCATCAAGTTTACTAAAATAGTAGAGGAAAAGAGAGAGTACAGAAAGTTGATGAACAGAATCAACCTTTTCTCAGGCTCACTCAAGCTACCCCTGTAACTTTGCATAGGCTTAACTGACCAGTTGAAGGCCCTAGCTTATAACAGGTCCCTACTGCTAGAGGGGCTTGAGGAAGGAAATCCTAAAAATCTTGATGTTTTATTAAGAACATCCTCACGCAGTTAAGCTTTGATTTTCAACTGACAGAATATTGGTTTCCTTCTCCAGAATCCATGGGTATATGGCTTATGTCTCTAATAAATCATCCTAACAGTGATTTCAATAGTGTAACCTCTGAATCATTGACCTGAATTCAAGCTTAAGATACTAGAACAAGTGAAAGCAAATTGAGGTAGAGTGATTATCAAATGATTCTATCTTTCAAGAAATGTACCAGAAAGGAGGGCAAATGGTGCAACTACGTATTGGAGTAATATAACAATGGAAGCAAAGCAAAAGAAAGATATTTGCTTACCATTAGGGTCATTCAGCAGGTGAATGTATGAGCAATTGCAATCAACAGTTAACATTCCAAAGCAGAGTGGAAACTAACACAAGCTTAAATTGTCTAAGAAATAACTTGGTCCCCATTTTCAAAGCAAAAAGAACACAGAAACAAAGCCAACTACACATGAATTTACTGAACGAGATATTTGAAAAACTTTTGAAGGGATAAGCACGATTTGTCTGGTACAGGAAAGAATCCCTTTTACAGGCATCGATAGGCAACCAGGAAACTGCATGCTTGGTTAGAACGACACACGAAGCCAGAAAAGGTACCTGAGTATGTCCTTATGACGGGAAGTGAGGCGGAAAGAAGTGGGGTTCTCTCCCATGCCAGCATAATGATGGTTATGCATACAAGCACAATTAGGAGAAAAGTTAACTCTCTACCCTTCACTTTGAAACCACCTCCTTTCATCTTAGCTGGGAAAAGAACAAATATCAAGTGAAACTAAAAGAAAAATAAAAAACTTATAATAAATGTTGTTCAAATGCAGAACAAAGACTAGGACGCAACATCAATATGAATGATGAATGAAAGAGTCCAATGACACTACAGCAGAAAGAAAGAATAACACAGGGTGGATGAGTTTCACTTTGCACATTGTAGCATACGCCAAACATGCTGCTACTGTTGCATTAGGTCCATCCCAGAATTACAAGACCTATGCATAAGCAAACTCGCCAAACAAAGTAATTTTAGAATATTGACCCGTTCCTTGCAACAAAACAATCGTTATTTACTTCTGCGCTACATCTACGTGTTTGTTTCTTGCTAATTCTGACCATGCATATACTATACCTACCAATTCTTGACTATCTTCAAATTCAAGTCTCCCAACAACGAAGTTAAATAATAATTCTGGTAATCTTAGTTAGAAAATCCCCAATATCTAATCAGGGTTATTGCCATATTCTTCTTCTTTCTTTATTTTCTGTAAGCTGCTAAATTCTCAATAAAATCGAAGAGAATCCGGACTTCCAATCAGGAACAATTTTCATTGCCGTATATCGATTAAAGTAGAACGCCAGTTGGAAAATTCCGTCACCGATCCGCTTATTATCGAGAACATCCCAAAAATAGGAACTAAACATATAATCCGCCGCCGCGGAATCCGAAGGGAGAAACGTGAATGCAGTAGAAAGCAACAAAAACAATGGAAGTTTCAAGATCAGAAGCCGAAAAGCAGAAGACTTGCATCTCTGCATCCCTAGTGGATGTGCATGCAAAGAGGCAAATCTGATCGAGAAGAACAAAAATAGAAAGGAAAGGGGAAAGTGCAGACAGATCGAACAGAGATTCGATCTTGTAATCCAATCCAAATGCAAGCAGCGGGGAGCACTTAGGAGGGAGATAGATTAACAAACAACAAAAAGAAGGAAGGATGGAGAGCGGGAAGTACCTTGGATCCCGGCGGGAAGAATTGACGAAGAAAATTGAGGAGGAAGCCGGCCGGGGGTTGAAAATCTTTTGGGTGAAGGGATTAAATATAGTCCGACGGGAATGACGGGAGAGACTCTGCGCAGACCGAGGAAAATGCGCCCCCTGCCTGCACCCAAACGTGTTTTTCTCTTTCTCTTTCTCTTTCTCTTGTGCGCGCAGCAGGCCAGGCAGGCAGGCAAGGAACGACGGTCGATCGGGGTAATATAATTATACTATAATTACTTTGCATATATATAAATCATAATAACAAATATATATACGGCAATTAAAGTGGAGAAGAAAAGGGGGGGACGAAGACGATTAAGGCGAGGAAAGACTCGGAAGTTGGAACTCAGTTCTTCTCGCGGCTGTCATTTCCGTTTCACCCGTCAGTGACATCCTTCCTTCCTTCTTTTCATCCCCACAATCTTCTTTTTGTCTTAATTAAAGACAGGGCCTTTCCCCGGATGTTTTGCGTCTCTCTCCCTCCGTATATTCCTCTGCCATTATTAGCTGGCTAAAGCTGGGAATGCTTTTTTGTTTTTGGATCTTTTAAATGAATAACATGTTTTATCCACTCTCTAGTTGTGTTTGATCAATTAAGAAGCATTTGATTGGTCCAGATAAGAGCAGCCAATCGTTCAATTCAAAAAGTCATTTACAACTTGAAACAGACCGATAGCACAACCCGTTTACTACAAAAATTGTCAAGAATCCTAAAGATCTCGGACAACAAGGCAAGGAACGTCCACATTGGTCGCATTTAGGCAAGATCCGCTTATTTGACCGCACGACCTAATCGTTCCTGACCTAAGGCACCAAAGGACTTACTTGCTCAATCGACCTTGATTGGCACACAACCAGATGGTATAGTCCAACTCATATAAAGGGGATAAGACCATGTGGTGACAACCAGGCCTCCTCTCGAAAGTCGAGAGAGTGATAGTCAATTCTTCAATCTCAGTGGTCACCTTTTAAATGAAGAATTCACAAATCCCTCCTTCAAGTAAAGGTGGTATTAAGAACAGGTGTTCTTAAAAATTCGAGTTGTTAAGAGAGGTTCAATAATGAATTTTCTACCACATATTAATATGTTCCCTCAAACTCAAGCTTTTCAGATGAGCTTGAAGTTTGCTCAATTCGAAAATGGGGTCGCCGACATTCGAATAGAAGACCCCTTGGTCACTATATGCTCTTATACCATGTCAGGAACTAGTTCCTCCCAATAACTCAAGTTGTTGAAAGATGTTCAATAATTAATCTTATATCACATCCTGACAGGTGGTCCCCGCAAACAAAATGAATAATGGTCTTTACAGTATTGTTAGGGATGTGGGAATCCCGAGCGACACATAGATGATTTACCGTTCTTAGATCGTTTTGTGGCTCAAATCCAATCGATCAGGCATACAAGAAACCATTAGGCCTCTCACCTTCCTATAAATATCAGGAGTCCAACCCTCCTGAGAGGTAACTCATTTCTATCTACTACACTTCAAAATTTCCTTCTCTTTCATCCCTTTCTATGGTTTTCCTTGCTAACTTGATTGTCGAATGGAAATCCTAGGCTACCAAACCTAGGTTTTGCATTGTCTTATTGGTTAGCCGACTAGAGATGACCTACACCAACACAAGAGGATTTTATGATTCTCAGGAGATTTTTTGCAATCCAAATTTCTATTGATCTGGTTCTTTCATCAAGGCCATACCAAAAGACTTTTCCAAAAACACCGAGAAGCAAAAATTCCTCCAAAACACCCCACTCAATGGCCGTTGATTCCATAATTCATTTCACTCTACGTGTATATTGTGGAGAGTCCTTGATAAGCCTTTAATCTTGATTAAAGCAGACAATGCCCTCTTTAATAGATTTCTCAGTGGGACACTATTCTTAACTAAAACAGAATACCAAGGCAATGAAAATTAGATTCTCTCTACTTAATTGAAATCCAGAACAAACTAGTGAATCGATTCACTCTCGTTCAATTTATTCCCTACTTACAATTGACGTTGATCTATCAACTTATTTAGATATTCCATCTTCTAGGTTAAAGCAGAAATCATAAGAATTTGTTCAGGATTCAGAAAACTCATGAAATATTGATTCGGGTCCAATTGTACACATTTATCCCTCATTTCTTGTTCGTTTTGCTTAGTAGATCACTGTCCCTCGACCTATTTTACGCTAGGTTGTGCTTTTTTGTTAGATTTAAGGTCTTAGCACGTGTGGGAAGGTGATAGACCATTGATTGCACATGTTTTTACCCCTATCCTTGAGCCGTTTGAGAAGTCGATTCCCGCGTTTTAGGCCGATTTCACGCTAGGTTGTTCTTGTTTGTGATATTTCAGGTCCTAACACGTGAATGAAGGCCTGGGAATGAGTTCGGGGTCGATTGGACGAAGATTGGACGTTGGGCGAGAAGCTGAGGAAGCCACACGGGCACGCCTAAAATCCCACACGGCTGTGTGACGTGGCCGTGTGGCACCATTTTACACGGGCAAGCCACACTGGCCGTGTAGGGGACCCTTTGTGGCCGTGTGAAGGCTCGGTGATTCCCACACAGGCAGCCTGGGAATCCACACGGCCGTGTGGCCCTGGCCGTGCAGCATGCCTGGAAGCCCACTAATCGAAACGCCGCGTTTGAACACTCACACGGGCAGCTGAGAAAGTCACACGGCCGTGTGATCGGGAATTTCTGGGTTTTAACCCAATTTCCAGCCAAAGGAGGGGGTTCCGAGTTTTAGAGAGAAAGAGTGCGACCTAGAGAGAGAAAGTGACGAACCTGATTCTGCAACTGTCCTTGATCGATCTCCATCACCATTGGAGCCCGGCTTGAGCTTGGAGAAGAGCTGATTGAGTGCCAGAAGCAGATTATCATCCTTCACAGTATGGTTTCCGCATCTGAGCTAGATTTCCCATCTCTCTCTATGGAGTAACTTTCCTATTCACCTGGGTATGAAGAACCCTAGATTTGTATGTTAGGTCTGATTGTATGAACCCAAGTACAGATTCTATGATTTGATTATATTCAATTGAGGTTTGAATTGTTGAATGGCATGAATCCTGATCAAATTCCTGTTATTTCTGCTTTGACCTAGAATGAGAATATCTGCCTAGGTTAATAGAGCATCCTTGATTGAAGGTAGTGAATTGACGACTTTAGTCGAGGAGTCAATTCACTATTCTGTACCGGATTTACTTCGGTAGTGGAGGTTTGGTTCGTTAGGGCCTCAATCTGTTTACTCCGGTGGAGGTTAGTCGCCCGCTGGGCACTCAGATTGAGAGGGTCTGGAGACCTTTAGTCGAGACTTCAGACTGTTTAAGAACCTCCCGCAGTATAACTATCATTGGAATTGAACTTGGTAAATTACAATCCGGCTTAACTACAGTCTAGGGGGAACCATATCCGGGTGACCTCTCTCGACTTGAAAACAACCTTTTTACTTGCTTTGCTTGTTTGCTTGTTTGGATCTTCACTAAAGTTTCACCGCTAAATAATAAGAACTCACGGAGTAGTCATCACACTTAGGACCCAGGTTGACATTAAAACCCAAACCCGCTATACTACGCTTTAGGAGGTGGTTACACTTGGCCATTTTCTAGAGTGACGGTAGGAGCGAGTTAAGTTTTTGGCGCCGTTGCCGGGGACGGCTAGGTTGTTGAAGAAACGTGATTTCTGTTACTTTATCATTTTCATTTTTGCATTGACTGTTCGTTCTTTCCCACTTGTGCCTTCACGGGTTTGCTTGCTTGACTGTGTGCAGATAGTGCATGACCCGTAGCCAGTCGGGAGGTTTACTGGCATTGGATCCGGAGCTTGAACGCACCTATCGCCAACTTAGGAGACAACATCGAGCTAGACTGGCTACGAAGGAGCGCATAGACGGCCACTTGAGCAGCGATTCTGAGGAAGAGTACGAGATGGAAGGTGAACACAATCCACCCCAGGGGATACCTCTCCAGGTTCCCCTGGTGAATCAGATCTTGGGGAACAACCCCATACCCCAGGCAGATGGGGTTCAGCATCCACCACCGCCGCCGGGTCCCACCTTGGAGTATTACTACACTCCGCGGGTCGCCGATATCCGCCTTGTCATCCTTTATCCGTCCATTCCAGCAAATAACTTTGAGATCAAGCCATGCTGGATTCAACTCATTACATCGTCTATCCAGTTTCATGGCTTGAAGGATGAGGAGGCAAGGGTGCATCTTTCCCGTTTCCTGCAGCTGACGAACGGGTTCAAGATGAACGGTGTCCCTGATGATGCAATCCGCCTTCACCTCTTCCCCCATTCTCTGGCGGGGCATGCAAAGAGGTGGTTGGAGACCCAGTCCCCATTGTCCATCACTTCTTGGGACGATCTGGCCGACAAGTTTGTGCACAACTATCCGACATCGAAGACCACAGAGATCCAACGGGAGATCACTCACTTCCGCCAAGAGCCAGATGAGTCACTTCGTGATGCATGAGAGCGATACTCGGGATTTTTCTGGCAGTGTCCTCATCATGGCTTCAGTGATGCATTCACCGTGGGGAACTTCTATAGTGATCTCTCTCCGAAAAGCCAGAACATAGCCTCACTGGAGGCAGGCCAAAGGAACCAATGTGCCATTTTTCAAGATCTACAGAATCAGATTGGTGGCATAACTCGCCAAAATACTACCAGGGCACCGGGGACTCAACCTGCCATCACCATTCCGAACCCTCACGAGCCTCACCAGCACAAACAGTTGGATGCCATCACTACCAAGAGTGGCAAGACCACATCTGCTGCTCATGCCCAGCCCAGGCAGGACAAGCCACTACCTGCTTCAACACTTCCAGCCGACAATGCAGAAGTGGGGACGGTTAAAGAAGCACCTGCTCCCAAGCCACAACCAGTGGTTAAGGAGCATGTACCTCAGCTTTCTTTCCCCACTCGCCTACATAAAGACAAGCTGGAGACTGAGTTTGCCAAGTTCATGGCAATGTTGAAGCAGGTCAACATCAGCATGCCGTTCGTGGAGGCACTGTCGAAGATGCCCAAGTACGCCAAGTTCATGAAAGACCTCCTCACCAACAAGAAAAAACTTGGGGATCTTTCGATAGTGATGCTGAGCGAGGAGTGTTCTGCTATCCTGCAGAACAAGCTGCCCGAGAAGCGTAAAGACCCAGGGAGTTTCATTATCCCTCTTGTTATTGGCAGCATGCATGTAGGAAAGTCCTTGGCGGACCTAGGCACTAGCATAAATGTCATGCCCTACAAATTGTTTAAAAAGCTAGACCTAGGTGAACCTAGAGCTACTAGGATGAGCATTCAGTTAGCTGACCGTTCCATTGTGCATCCTAGGGGTATCATTGAGGATATGCTTGTTAATGTAGGTGCATTCACATATCCTGTTGACTTTGTTATTCTGGATATAAATGAGGATGTGGATGTACCTTTGATTTTGGGTAGACCGTTTCTCGCCACCGCCAAGGCGCTTATTGATGTGCATAGTGGTAAATTGATCCTGTGTGCTGGTGATGA